TTCGGTATTTTGGTGTTTTTGAGCGCGTTTTTCAACCGAATGCGCTGAAATTTGGTACAATGTAAATATAGGTCCACTTTTTCTGGTAGCCCCATATAACAATACCTCCTATTTTCAGTATTTTGAGAGTTTTGATCGTATTTTTCCACGAATAGGCTGTAATTTTGTATTTTGAGTTCTTAAAACGTACCAAATCTCTCCACAAAAAATTAAAAATATAGCTCCATATTCTCGGATAGCCCCCATATAAGGGTACCCCCAATTTTCGGTATTTTGGGGTTTTTGAACGCGTTTTTCAATCAAATTCGAATTCGTATTTTGTTTTCGTATATGGTAACAAATCTTCCTACCAAAAATGTTTAACATTCGCACCCTTTTTGGGGTCGTCCCCATATAACCCCCTTTTTATACCCTCCACCATAGTATGGAGGGTATATTAATTTTGTTTTTCCGTTTGTAACTCATCGAAATAATCATTTCCGACTTTATAAAGTATATATATTCTTGATCAGCGTAAAATTCTAAGACGATCTAAGCATGTCCGTCTGTCTGTCCGTCTGTTGTAATCACTCTAGCGTCTAAACGAGTTGAGATAGATCGCAAAAATTTTGCACAGAGTCGTATTTTGTCTGCAGGCAGATCAAGTTCGAAGATGGGATATATCGGTCCACGTTAAGGCATAGCTCCCACATAAGGGTACCCCAAATTTTCGGTATTTTGGGGTTCTTGAGCGTGGTTTTCAACCGAATTCGCTGAAATTTGGTATATTGAGTTGCTATTAGGTACCCAATTTCTCCACAAAAAATTATACATATAGGTCAATTTTTTCTGGTAGCCCCCATATAACAGTACCCTCTAATTTTCAGTATTTGGGGGTTTTGATGATAGTTTTCAACCGAATTGACTGTAATTTAGTACTTTGAGTTCTTATTGGGTACCAAATCTCTCCACTAAAAATTATAAATATAGGTTAATTTTTTCTGGTAGCTCCCATATAAGGGTACCCCCAAATGTCTGTATGTTGGGGTTCTTGAGCGCGTTTTTCAACCGATTTCGCTGAAATTTGGTACATTTGGTTCTTATTGGGTGCCAAATATCTCCACCAAAAATTATAAATATAGGTCCAATTTCTCTGGTAGCCCCCATATAAAGATACCCCCCATTTTCGCTATTTTGAGGTTCTTGAGCACGTTTTTCAACCGAATTCGCTGAAATTTGGTATTTTGTAGTCGGATATGGTAACAAATTTCCATACAAAAAATTTTTAATATGCACCCCCTTTTTGGGGTAGTCCCCATATAACCCCTTTTTATATTAAAATAGTTATGCAATTTGTTCCGCGTTTTGGGTTTGGTTCTAAGACTCTGTTGTAATCATATCACCTTCGGAGGATATCGAGATAAAAAGCTAGAACGTAAGGTTCGATAATAAACTATATATGAACTATAGCCCGACCTAGCTCCTGTGTGGGAGGTACCAGAAGGAGTGGACCGATATTCCCCGGTAATACAAAATGAAAAAATTCGCAGTTGCAAACAAAAATTTACTGTGAAAAAAATTCATTAGGGGGGGGGGGCGGCCCCCCACCCTTCGTACGTCCCTGGGTTGGTATGTTCCCTATATTTTCAAACAGTAACATTTACTGTGAAAAAAACTTGTTTATATTAAAATAGTTATATGATTTTTTCCGTGTTTGGGTTTGGTTCTAATACTCTGTTGTAATCATTTCATCTGCTGAAGATACGAAAAAACTAGAACATAAGGTTCGATAATGAATATATAATCATATATATGAACTGTAACCCGCATTTAGCCATAGCCCCTGTGTGGGGTACCAGAAGGAGAGGACCGATGAAATCAAAATTTTCTGACAAAAATTTGTTCCAAAGAAACATGGGGTCTAGAACCAATATTTCGATGGGGCTCATTTTCAACGTGTCAAAATTTATACACCCTCATCAGCCATAAGTCTGAGGGTATAATTATCAATAATTATCAATTACAGTTCTGAAATTTGTATTATGGTTTAAATAATCGGTTTGTAGAAATGTCGGTATAGGTAAACTTTTTGGTATTTTCCCTATATATTCATTTCAGGTACCTTTCAGTATATCTATGGTGGAGGGTATCCAAAGTTCCGCCCGGCCGAACTTAACGCTTTTTCACTTGTTTATAATTTAAATAAGTACATGAAATCAAAAGAGTGTTACTTGAACTTTCGCCTTGGGAATATTAGAGTGAATGATTATCGAGGTTTATTCCTTTAAGGGATATTGTTTATGAAATCAGATGGAAAACTTAAGACGGGCGGTATTCCAAACAATACCAAGTTATTATGTCTACAAGGAGCATTTCTATCCTACCTAAATATAGTTGGTATTTTTGAAAATTTCGGTTAGGACATTAAGGTGGGGTAGGGTAGCAGAAGCCTACTCCGCTCAACTTACCCACTTGCTTGAAGAAAACACTCCTTGACCCGATAATAATATAGAAACACAATGGCAAAGAATTACCCACTCCCTACAAACTGCAGCAAAAGCAACACTTGGGTACCACAGAATACCATTAAGAAATGCTATTGGTATAAAAAACGCAACGTATATGACAACCCTGCGAACAGTAGCAACAGGAGAAACACGTTAAAAAAAAGAAGAAATAACAAGAAAAGCGTCAAGTTGAGCAAATGGAGATGTATGGGAGTCGGAATGAAATCGAAGGATTTGGTTCAGGCACCTACTCCTGTAAAGGTGAAGAAGGAAACCTGGACAGCGTGTTGAAGATCTGGAAGGAACATTTAGCAAAGATTTTGGTATCAAATAATAACGGTAAAGAAAACACCCCAGAACTAATAAGAAATAACGGTATAGATTGTATGCCACCTAGCCAAGATGAAGTCAGAGTAACAATTAATCGGCTGAAGAATAATAAAGCCGGTGCCGACCGATTACCAGCCGAATCCAGTCTGAAGCTGATCAGTAGCATGCACCAATTGATTAGTAAAATTTGGCTAGAGGAATGCATGTCCAATGACTAGAACCTCAGCACCCTGTGTCCCGTGCCTAAAAAACGAGACAAGTCGATATCCAGCGTGCTGTGAGAACGATTGAATCCAATGGTTAATTGCATTATTGGACTATACCAATGCGGCTTCAGAACTTGAAAACACTTAGAGTGGGAAGGCCACGAATTCAATGGAAAGAACAAGTTGAAGACAACATCTTGGAACATGGTATTTCATATTGGTAAAGATTCGGCAATAAGCCACAAAATATGGAAAATGGTAATGGACCTTTGCAAAGGTGCTATGTGAAAACATGGACCTGTATTGTTTAATTCTGCAAAGATGTATGTCACCCTCCAAAAACCTGGTATACCAACTAACAACCCTCTCGCTTACATAAAACCTTAAAAAAACACAGACAATTGGGAAGTACCGTTATATGGGAACTATACTAAAACGTTGACCGATAAGCCCTATTGGCAAACCCAAACATCCTAGAAGTAATAGCAATGCCAGAGCACAATTTCCTAGCTCTATGTTAAATATTGCGATTTTTATCGTAATTTCAAACTACATACGGACGGACAGACGAAATTGGCTAAATCGATAGAGAATTGTATTCTGATCTAGAATGCTGCAATAGGAATACCACCATAAGGTGGAGGGTATGCAAATCTACGCTTATATTCAACAGTATTTAAAAAAAAAACCAGTGAGCGGAGCAGTATAGTCGGATGGGGCCTACCATATGATACCCTACACAATTACCACGAAAAGCACACTTTCGGCGGTTCTATATTCTGAGCCTGGGCAATATTTCGTGATATTTGCACCCTTTTTACCGATTATAGATCAACAACTCCTCTTTCTAAGTCTTGCATATTTTCCAAAATGTTCTTTCTTGAAGTGAATTTTTACGCCATACAATAAAAAATTGGTTACTTTAGGTTTTGGTTGGTTTGACCCTCGGAAAATTGGCCGCTCTAAGTATTTGGTCAGATCCCCTTCACCTTGTAAAATATTTGATGTTCTGTATATAATAATTGCCTCTAGAGCGACTAGAAAATCTGACAAAATTAACGTTTTCGGTTCATTGCACCCCCTGAATGAAATCTCAACTTCACCGAAAACTATAAGCGTAATCCTTGACAATAATCGGAACTTCATGTACAATTTCAAAGCGATCAGCGCGACATTTCCGTCCTCTAATGGAGTAATAGTAATAATATGCACATAGTCACCTTTACTTAATTACGTATAACTCCCGAATCGGAGTACATGCAGCCATATAATTGGTATCAATTTGACGGTCAACAACTCATCTTGGACATACTACCAACATATCGAGTATCTGTCCTTCAGGAGCAAGTATATACGCCCCAGAATAAAAATGTTGTAATTTTTCACACAAAAAAAAAAACGCTAAATATTGACCGATCTTTATCAACGCAGGCATGCTGATTCTTAGGCCCGATCCCCTTCTCCATGTAAAATTTCACGAGGTTCGGACCATAACTGCGGCCTCTGGAGCGACCAGAAAAACCGACCAAAATTTAGTATTTGGTCCATATTATCCCCTAAATATTAACCGATATTTATCAAAAACAATAGGGGTCTTCATTGGCCAGAACCCATCCTACATGCAAAATTTCGTGAAGATTGGTCCATAACTGTGGCCTGTATCGTGTTTAAAAATTATAATGGACAGACGGTCGGACGGACACACATGTCTAGATCGACTCAGCTAGTCGAGATATGACGATCGGTATACTTAAAGATGGGTCTAGGACCAATATTTCGCGGCGTTACAAACTTTTGGGGCTGCACAAAGCTATAATACCCTGACAACATAGTTGTGTAGGGTATAATAATCATTAAAAATCTACACTTTTACCTAACGGACCTTGAACGAATATTATTTTAAAACTCTGGGTATATCTAGTAGTCCTTGAAAAATAAAAATATATTATTAAAATTCCGCACTTATATTTCGTACATTTCATCCCTTACGATAAAGATTACCATCGAACCCTTCTAATAGTTGTAATTTTTCACCTTTAACAACTCCACAGGTTGCTTTTGCATTCCAACGCGAAGAAATATTTTCCACACCAACACTTTTTGAAATTGCCTTAATTTTCTTCCTCTTCGATATATTGTCATTTGGGCTCGGTGTAGCACAATGTTTCAGCAGAGCAGAATCCAATTTTTTACTTGAATCGGGTAGCATGGCCACCGATTGACTACCCACATCCCTACAAATATTCGCACTACCACATGACATACACTGAAGACCGCTCATAATTATCCCTGCAGCACGTGGACATTCTTCCCTTGCCTGAAGGTCATTGATCTCCCGGGAAATTCTCAAAAAATTATCTTTGATATATTTCTTAAGAGCCGGCACATGTATTTTATCTAGCTTCGCATCCAACATATCCTGCACCTCTTCCATGACACAAATAAATTGTGTTTGATTTTCGTTTATCTTTTTTCGTAGTAATTCGATTTCATGCAGACATTTCTCCAGTAATTGAATCTTCAAATAATGTTCTTCGGTTCTTGCGATAAATGCATTGAACTCCTTTTCTAAGGCAGCGATTTTATTTTCCAATTGGAAAACACGATCCACCATCGGTGCTGAAATGCGCCGCAACAGCTTCTTAAGGAAATCGGTGTTTTTCAATAGCTTACAGGCAATCACATTGTCGGGATTGCAAATTGTACAAAGATCTTCGGGGTTAAAATTCTGCCAATTATCCAACTGTAGGGTGGTTTCATTCTGATTGCTTTGTCGACTGGATTCTTCCAAATGGCATGACAGCTTTTCGTCCATCGTTTGGACGACTTGCTCCAATTTTAATAAACGTTGTAGTTTATCGCTTATCACTTCGATTTTTTCATCGTCAATAGCCAAAGGAGAAAGCTTGCTTTGATTTAAGAGATTTTGTAGTTTATTGCCTTCAAAGGAGCTCAAAATAACTGCCTCCGATTGACAATTAAGTTTCTTAAGCAGAATTTCAATGAGACTTTGCAAGACGGCTATATTCACATTTGTAAGATCCGCGGAACCCAAGGCGATTTTCGCCAAATCTTGTAATTTAAATTCCATATTTTTTGATTTTTGTTGCAAATAAATAAATTCGATAGAATGTCTGTCATAAAAATACATATGTTTGTATATAAGGGTGTTCCAGTCGTATAAGGGTGTTCGATACCTTCATTTCAACTCTTTACAGCTTTAACATTTTGACCAATTTAAAATTTGACCAAATAATATGTTGAGGGATCGTGCTTATATTCCATGATTATTCAGTCAAAACTGATTTACATTTTGTCGCTATCAGTACCCAATATTTTCATCAACTATAAAGGATGCACTGAGATTTAACCGTTCGTGAAACGTTTTTTTTTTGCTGCCAAAAAATGTTTGTTTGAGGACATCATTGAGCTTTGAAAGATCATGTTTACAGGCTATTAAGCTAACTGCCTTGAAATTATTCACCAAAATAAAAAAAAAACGAAAAGATAGCTTGAAACGAAGTGAAAAAATGGATTGCCAAACCAACTGACTTATTTATGTTAATTAATTCAATTTTAAGGACCAGACGATGAACGCAATTTAACAAAAACTAAAAAAAAAAATGGGAACCTGCCTAAACGAAATGTTTCGTCAGAAACCCAAATGTGTATGGATGGATGTCCGACTGGTTGCCGGAGATGTGATATTGATGACAATGACAACAAGCGAATAGGTTTTTGTTTTGCCAGTGTGTTGTGAGCCCCCAACATATTTTGGTGTCAATACTCATGTGCCGGCCATCAAGATAAGTGGGAGGAGTTTAGAGTGTAAAGTTTCGAAGGACAACCGGACAGAATATAAACTTAAAATCATGTAGAGCTTTAATGTTTTAGTTGGAAAATGTTTCATTAAGTGGCTATGAGCATCAATTTAAATACCCCATAGTAACCCAACAAACATTTTCACTTATGAATTATGTTGTAGAGCAAACAATCCGTTCAAAATCGACATATTTTTTTGCGGTGGATAGATCTTGGCTGAAACTTAATTTATTATGAAAAATTATTATTTAAAGAATTCTTTGTTGTGTAGGAATGCATGGGGGCCATAAACACGCCATCTCAATTATGTTTGAAAATAATTTTTTGTTTACTTTTTTGCAACAAGGTATCGAAATATCGAATATTGATCCAACTCTGGGAATTAGATATTCTGTAACTTTATTTTGTTTCTCTCGATTAAGTTCTGCTGGGTTAGTCATTGCTTTCAATTATTCTTTTACGTTTATTTCTAGATAAACTGTAGCCAAACCATCATCCTCTGGACAAAAGGCGACAGCAATGGTGATAACAATTTTATGTTGTTGTTGCTGTTGATTCCTCTCATTGAGCTTTGGTCGGATGAAGTTTGTAAGCATCAATTAAAATTTACAAGAAAATGCTGTTGTTGTTGTCGAAGTTACTCTTTAGTGGTCAAAATGTTAAAACTTATCTTTAAAAAAAAATTCCAAACACATTTACATAAAGATGTGAACGCGTATGTCATGTTTTTAGCCAACGAGATGTTCTTAGTCGTTACCGTCAACCTGACATAGTTCTATGCATCAGTTTCAAGCATCTATGTCTGCATGATATGAACACAGTGGCATAGTAAGTACACCTACCATGAGGAAGGTAATGATAGGCAATTTGCATAGTGGAACCCGAAAGATAATTTATTTACATCTAAAGAATCTGGATGAGGTCTTATATGCTTGAAAGAGATGTTTAAGGTAGATAAGATGTTCTATGGAAAAAAGAGATTGACGAGCTCTTCTATGTTTATATAGTAGATATTCAATAAATAGAAGAATAGAAACGTTTATGATATCGAAAACAATTGTATCACCATGAAAGGTACATTAACAGATATGGCGGGTTATGCCACTGTAAATGTATGGTAGGAAGATTTTATATTAAATGATAACCAACTAAGAGCCCATTCGGTTAAGAACTAATACCCAATCTCAAAAAAAAGGATAAATATTGAACATTTCTAGAATTTTTTGCAATGTAATGTAAATCAAAATTCCAAATTGAAGTCAATTCGGTTGAAAACATGCGCAAACACCTCGAAATACCGAAATTTGGGAGCTACCGTTATATGGAAGCCATAATAAAAAGTACACCAATATTGATCATTTTTGGTAGGAAAATGTGAGAACCCAAAACACCAAATTTGGTGGATAAACATGCCGAAATCTGAAATGCACCGTTGTATGGGGCTATCACAAAAAGTGAACCAATATTGATACATTTTAATAGGACGATGAGGTACCTATTGACAACCCAAAATACCAAATAACAGTTAATGCGGTAGAGAAACATTTCCATACTGCCCAAAATACTGAAATTTGAAAGGCCAATGTTAACAAACACCAAATTACAATCAAAGCGGTTCAAAATATATGCAAATACTCACCAAATAACCGCTATTTGGGAGATAGCGATAGCGCTATCGTAAAAAGTGGACCAATATTGAATGAATGTAAGGCTATAAAAATAGTTAAAACTAGTGATTCCTGGCAAAGGTATTTTTTTTGTTTTTGAATAAAACAAGTCCTCGATGGTTACAAAAGTTCTTCTAGGAATAGAAGAGACTTAAAAGGTCCGTCGGGGATAGAAAAGTTATGCTATGGATTGAAGATGTATTCTATAAATCTAATAGTTCTCGTATTCATATAGAGGTCTCCCATGCATAGATATGTTTTATAAAGATCAATAAAATGTCTTCTACGTTTGAAAAAAATAAAGAAGATTGAAAATGTGAGGTTTTATTTAATGATTGACCTTTATATCCGATAACTGCACTAAATCTATGGTTAGTTCAAATATAAAGGCCTGCTTGGCTTAGGCCACCCAGGATTCGATATTCGCGACATATAAGATTTCCATATTTTTATACCCTTCACCACACTGTGGTACAGGGTATTATGTCTTTGTGCATATGTTTGTAACAGGCAAAAGGAAACGAGATAGACATATGGTTCATTTTGAGAATATGCATAGAATTACAAAGCTGGCACAGCTCACTTATTTGGCCCAAGGACGAACCCTATTGAAATTGGGAAAAATCGGTTCAGGTTTAGATATAGCTCCCATATATATTTTCGTCCGATTTAAGGTAAATGGGGCATCAAAGTCCCTATATAAGTTTCGATTTGCACGAAATTTGGCATTGCGCACTGAATTAGTTCCAGAATAATGTGTGCCAATTTTCGAGGTTCAGATTTAGATATAGCTCCCATATATAGTTTCGTCCGATTTAATGTAAATGGTCCACCAAATACCCTATATATATATATTTCGATTTGCACGAAATTTGGCACAGCGTAATGAATTAGTTGTAGAATGATGTTTGTTAAGTTTCCTGAAAATAGGTCCAGATTAGATATAGCTCCCATACATATTTTCGTCCGATTTAATGTAAATGTTGCACCAAAGTCCCTATATATCTTTCGATTTGCACGAAATTTGGTATAGCGTAACGAATTATGTGTGTCTAGAATTATGTGTGTTAAGTTTCGTGAAAATCGGTTCAGATTTATATATAGCTTCCATATAGAGCTTCGCCCGATTCTAGGTAAATTGACCACTAAAGTCCCTATATATCTTTCGATTTGCACGAAATTTGGTATAGCGTAATGAATTAGGTCTAGAATTATGTGTATTAAGTTTCGTGAAAATCGGTTCAGATTTGGATAAAGCTCCTATATATATTTTCTGCCGATTTAAGAACATAATATGGATTCATCTTAATTTTCCTTCAAAAATTCGACGTCTGTTAGGATTCATCTGTTGAATATTCCCAAAGTGGTGAAGGGTATCATATAGTCGGCCCCTTCCGACTTTACTACTTTCCTTACTGGTTAAAATTGCGGCACCTTGGAAGGTATTAGAGGGAGTGAAAAGATTGGCCCCATATTCTGTAATGGCCTGGATTTGGTTAAAATATTACAATGATCAAAGTTTGAATGTTGTATTTACTAATTTTGAAAAATTTTTACACTTTGTGGTAGAAATACGAAAGCAGTGAAAACATGGGTCCCACCTTCGGACTTCCTCTATGTTTGGTAAAAATGATATGATGTACAAATATTGGATGGAATTAGATTAGATATTCCGTTCGCTTACAAGTTTGCAAAAATTGACTCTTTGTGGAGAAGGTACTAGAAAGAATTGATCGGTAAATCCATTCTTCCAATATTAAACAGGCTTGGTCAAAATATTTGACTATGCAAAGTTTGGTTCAAATAGGATTGGTATTATAACATTTTTTTTTTCATTGCAGAATTTTGACCAGTAAAAAACATGATTCAAATACTAATAGTTAGTCACATTGTTGTCGTATTAAAGTGTATTTACCCTCATTAGCCATAAAGGTCAGGGTATAAATACGTGCCATAAATCCCTAAAAACCGAATATATTGGGATACCATCATATGGAGGCTATACTATAACGTGGACCGATATATTATAGCAATGTATTTGCCAAATTCCCAAACTTTATTTTTATTGCGATATTTGTGGCAAGACGATAATGAGGCAGGACCTTTATATGAAGATTATGTAAAAAAATGGACCAATAACGAAAAATGTATGCTTATATGATTTTCTACCTTTAAGAACCCTGTCATATATATACCCTTTATAATAACGAAAATGGGGTGTGGAATTTATATGGGATGTATGCCAAAAAATTTAATATATATCGAATATATCCTGCATTCCTTTTTGTGTCCATCAAAAAACTGTAATTCCAAATTATAACCAATTAGTTCGGCCAAACTTTACGTCTTTCTATAAAAGTTATCTCGAAAATATTATGGGAAGACTTTTCCATTCACCAGGAATCCCGAATTCCAAATTATAGTCATTTCAATCGGAAATTTCAGAAAAAGAGCTTCAAAATATTGAAAATATTGCACGACCTTTATATGGAGGTTATGTCAAAACATGGACCAATCTCAAAAAATGTTCGCTTGTATGTTTTTCAGGGATCTGCTCATTCTGCTCTACCTATTACCGCTTTCACCCACTGTTACATGTTTG